CGCGAGGTGTGTTTCGCGCGCTACCCCACCACGGAGCTCGCGGCGCGGCGGGAGCTGCTTCGGGGCCTGCGCCGCGTCCAGCGCGAGGCCACCGAGGCCGACGCCGCCTCCTCTTCTTCCTCCTTTTCTTCTTCCTCTTCCTCCTCCGACGACGACGAGGGGGACGGCGACGCCGCGAACGACGCGATGGCGCTCGCCAAGGCCCTCATTGAGGCCGCCATCTGTGAGGAAAATCTCATCGGGACGAGCTACGCCCCGCATCGCTGGGCCCGTTGGGCACCCCACTGGTAAGAAAAGAATCCACCAATGCGGTGTCTGGGAGAGAAAGGGGGGTTCATTAGGGACGATCGCTCCCTCTTTCTTTGACGTTTTCTTTTGATTTTTGATTTTTTTTTTGTGTTGTATGCGTACTCTACTTCTTATTAGGGTTATTGGTTTTATCATTTTAGCGAAATAAGGGGGATTTAACCCGCACGGACTACTCAGTCTCCCAATTATTCAAATCATAATTATCATTCTAATAGTATTTTCACTCGCCCTTTCGTAGTGAGGGAAGAGAAGGGCATTGTGCACCTTTCCTTCATGGTGCTTCGTTTTCGTATCGGTAGGATGTACTGGTTCCGGCTCTGGTATTTATTAACAACCAACAACCGCAATAGGGAAACCATATAATTTTTTTGTTGCTCATTAAAAAAAAAAAAGGTGTGTGTACACCTCTATTATAATTGTATTTTAAAGTTTATAGACTTTAAGGGAAAATTTAGACGGGCGATATGATGCAGTGAATTCATGGGATCGACACATTGTGTACGTGAGAATCCTTTGCAGACAATTTTTTTTCGAGAAGGAATGCTAAGCTGAAAGTTCAAATAAATTACTATATGCATATAATTGAGCGTGTCATGTGAGTCTTGGGGCTTTTTAAGATGACTCGTTATAAAGGATGAGAACTCAAATAAGGTATCTTGTATATATGATCCCCCCAAAGGGGTACTATTCATTTCACTAAAGGAACCGGCTAAAGTCCGTCATCAGGTCTTCTCTGCCATAAATGTTCGGATTACCCTTTGAAAAATATGAAATATCCCTACTCCTTTTTTTGTATTGAAAGACTAAAATTATAGTACTAACGCTTCTATTAGAAACAAAGCCTAACTTCTCCACGTGCTATTTAACCAAACCACAATTTATTCCCACAGATCACCACCAATACCCCCCTCCCCCTTATCCTTCTTCCCTCCCTTTCCCCACCTAAAAAATAATATAAAACGTCGAAAGAACGTCCACCCGATCTGCCTTTGGCCCCTTTTAAAGCCTATTGGGTGACCCTCTCTATCCTAACCCCCTCTTAATAGCCTACAGGCCGCGAAAACTCACGGGCAAAGCACCGAATGGGCGGGGTCGCGTCGACGACGTCGTCGCGGGGCACGAACATCCACAGCGCCCCCGGCCAATCCCGCCATAGCGGGCGCAAGGTCATCTCCCCCGGGCGCTACACCTACTCCATGTACGGGTCGAAATCCCGGGGCTACCCCGACCTGATTCGGACCCAACACCCCTCCCAGATGAACCTTTCCCCTTCAATGGGGCGAGGGTTATCGCAGGGGAACGCGGCAGGCCTCCCGGGCCACGCGTTTGCCATCTCCCCGCCCGTGTATGGGCCGAATCCCGTGGTGAACGGAGGGCCGATGATGGGCCGGATGAACAGCACGAATTCGCTAATGCGGATGGGCAGTACGAATTCGTTTGTGCGGATGGGCAGCGCGAATTCGTTTATGCGGATGGGCAGTACGAATTCAATAGGCCGGGTGAACAGCATGAATTCGCTGATGCTCGGGAGTGGGACAGGAGTGGGGACGGATTATTTTAGCGATTTGGTGCCGACGGAGAACGCAAACTTCGGGGGGAGCCTGGCGCCGTCTTCCATGGCAAACGACTCCGGTGTGGATCCGATAGGGGGCTCCTTCTATGCCAATCTTTCCAAACACAGCAATTGTCTCACCGAGGGCGGGAAGAGCCACCCGAAGAAAAGTTCGTATGATAATCTTATCAACCCCCACACCTCCCCCGCGGGGGGAATGGCCAACAAATTCGCCAAACTCAACGATTTGCCGCCGGGCATGGCAAACCGCCCGAGCGGCGACGGCGTCCCCGCCGTGGACGATGCGAACTCGATCTTACAGCGCTACGACAGCGCGAACAAGCTCCATCGGCAGTACTCCGTCTCCGGGCAATTTCACTCCTACAACAACATGAATATCCCGCGCATGGTGGCGGCTTCGCCGGGGCCGGGGGCCTTTGCCCCGGGCTTCCCCCGCGGGGGGATCTCCCCTTCCCCTCAGGGGCCGCCGAATCTCAAACTCAACGCCCACACCGGCAACGTCTCCGGGCTGACCTCGCAATCCCTGGAGCAGCGCCGCCTGGCGAGCGACCCGAAGCGGCGCTCCTTCCACGCCGGGATGGAGGGGGCGAACACGCCCCTGCCCGTCCATCCTACGCCGTTGGGCATGCCCGTCACCAACCCGGCCTCCGGGCTCGAGCGCAAAGACAGCCAAAAGCGCGTCGGGATGTATTTTAAGAAGATCAACAACGAAAAAGACGGGTTGGAGTACCGCAAGGAAGGGGATACCGGGGAGTCCGCGCGGCATGCGGACTACAAATCCGACGCCACCTCGACGATGTGTTATGTGAAGCCGATTTTGTTGTTTGACGGCGAGGGCGGCGGGAAGGACGGGGCGGGGCCCACGGTGGAGGTGGACGGCTGCACGGTCCGCTATAGCCGGACCCCCAACGAGGAGATCCACAAGTACGACATGTCCGACCTTTTATACGTCAAACTCGCCAGCGACGTCGAGGTCCAGAGCGACTCGCTCGACATCATCCGCGAGCACTTCGTCGGGGGGAGTAATGTCGGGATGATCATGGCGGATATGGACAACCCCGCCGCGGACCCCCCCGGGTGGTTTTCCTGGCTCGCCTTGAAATACGTCGTGAAGGAGACCTTCGTCCGCCTGGACGGCGGGGCGGAGTTCACGATGTCGGCCTGCCTTTTGCAGGAAGATCAGGTGATGGATCTCTTTGAGACCGCGTCGAGCCCGTCGTTCGGGCCGCTGAAGGTGGCGGAGAGTCCGTTTTTCGGGAACGTCGCCCACGGCCTGACCTACATCCTCGCCGGGAACGCCAAGGAGTTCAATCGCTCGCTCGGGCAGGCCCTCGAGGTCGCCCGCACGCAGATGGCCCGCACCAAAGACGAGGAGCAGGGGATTGTCCTCGTGACCTGCCTGCTCAAACAGCTCCGCTCGACGCGCGAGGGGGGGTCGGATGTCTGGATCTCCTCCATCTTCGCCAGCGGGGTCGGGGATGGGATTATTCATTACAATCGAATCCTTGACAAAAACCCGGCGGAGCCGCGCGCGGTCTTCTACGCCGCCCTGCATCGCTCGATCTACAGCACCGCCATCTTCTCCACGGGGGAGTCCAGCCAGGGGTTATACCAATGCTTCACCACCCTCCAACGCTTTGGCAAGGTCGAGACGCGAAAACCGAAGGTTAACAGCGTCTCGATGTTTATCCATTTCGCCGAAACCACGATTTTAAAGATGAAAGAGGATATCCCCACCATGCAGAATACACCGCGCTATCCGATGATGGTGAAGTTCCTGGAGAAGATGGAGATCATGCTGGTGGATGCAAAGGAGATGATGGCGAACCCTCGAAGTTGCGTACCGAAAACGTATACATAGAAATTTATTTTACACATGCCTTGGCCGAACGATATCTTAGTTGGAGGATAGGTCACCAAACTAAGAGGCCTTTTTAGTGAATGAGTTTTATAGTATTTATTACTGGGTTGCTATTTCTTATTGTATTTTTCAACTCGCTTCGAACACCTATAAGGGTAACTCCCGTTCTAACGGAGTGGATGAACCGATAGAATACATATGTATTGATATATTTCACTTTTACCTTATTCCCTTTTTTTTACTATTGGGGAGGGGGCTTCATAAAGCGATCTATTTTTTCTGAATTTTTGTGTAAACAGTGCTGTAAAATATCAAAGTATATTTGGATATCAAGTCAAATACTCGATTGTAAGAAGTAAAAGGTTCTGGGTACATTAGACAAAAAAAAAATGTACATAAATGTATATAAAAAAAAGTGCCAATTAAATACGGAAATCCCAATCATTTCTCTTAGTTTACCAGTGCTATTTCTTACAAAGTATCATTTTAACCTAATTATAGTTGTTTCAACAGTGTAACTTGCTATAAATGTTATGGATTCTTGATTTCAAATATTATTAGACAGAGGTATAGAAAAAGGAGCCTTTTTTCTTCGCTTCTTATTCTTTTGATATCCTATTTACATAGTTTTATATTTGTTGTTTTATTTCTCTTGTCGAAAATTGTTCATTTTTTGATCAGTTAGTGATTTTTTTAAAATATTGTGATTCAAATGGGGATCTGTGTCTGCTTGTTAAAATATGGATATTAAATTTTAAATATGTAATAAAACGTTTTTCATTGTTTTAATTATTGAATGCTTTGTTATACGGGTGGGAGTCCTCCTACGGATGACGTTCTTTTCTCTGAAGATGGATGAAAGAGGTAAAAAAAAGAACGAAACGGCAAGAGACAACTGTGATTTCCACCCTACTGATAACAAGAGGAAGAGTAAGAGAGAAATAGACGACACATATATTTATGTCCTTTAAAGTGTGCGAGTAGCTATTCCTCCACATTATTTTCATTTTATTTTGAGATATTTTTAACCTATGCCTTATTCACGACATATCCCTCATTTTGCCGCCCCTTCCGAGCGGCGACGATTCATTTGAATGCAAATTTTGGTATGGGATCATTTTCTTTGGCCAGTACATATTGGCCAAAGTCGATGATAGAGTATGTCTTAGGAAAATGCAGGGAAAACGACTTTTATTTCATGATATCTTCTTCTTGACGGATGACCTTTAAAATACAATTTTGCTATAATATTGTTTACTAAGTCTTTTTTTATCATCTTCAGAGCGTAAAAGCACTGTAAAGAGGGATACCAATACCATCAATCGCCATTTTACGTCTTTCAAAACTTCAACTCGGCTAGTCTCTATTAAATGGGTGACATGTTTGTTCTGCATTTTTTTTTGTTTAGTTGTTCATAAGGAAGGGAAATACCGGAAAATGTAGGACATCTATGAATATAACACCAATACATTCTCAGCTCACTTTTTCATCGTATTATCAAGAGCAAAATATGTGATCTAACTTTATCAATTCAACGCTTATTTCTTTTTTCGTATGGTAGTAAGAATAGAGTAATGAATTATATAATTATTTGCTTAACACTTATCTTAAGATATTCGATGCGTCTTTCAATTTATATGTTTCTATATACTTATATCAATATCAATTTATTTATTTAGCTATAATAAATATCAAGACTATCCCTCTCTCAATAGTCATCGACTGCAAATTCTCCTGCTGTTTTTTGCATATTTCCTTTAATCTTATTCCTCTTTTTTTTTGGAAATAATTGTCAAGCAACAAGTGTCACTCTTTCTTTCCTTCTGTTTTCACGAGAATAAGAACAGGAAGAGATGACTAAATAAAATTCATAAAATAATATATAAGAATTTTTAAATAATGTACCTAAACCATCTTTTTTATTTTTGATTATGCGGGTTTAGTCTAATTTCTTTTCCTTCCTTTGACAATTCTTTCTGTTTTTATCTTACATAGTGATAAATATATATATATATATATTGCACTTCCAGAATGAGTTACTCATTGTTCTTTGGTTTGTGGTATTGTGTACCATTTTTTTATATAAATTTACTGGAATATCTTCATAACTCCGTGTCAAAATGATCATGATTTTAGAGCTAATCGCACTAGGGCTTTGATTTTCCATAAAGCCAGTGTTTAATACCATGAAAAAAGCGAAACACATGTAGAGAAGATAATCCACACAACTTTTCGAGAAAAGATTCTATAAAAATAGCAAATGGGTAGATTCTGCACACGTGCATACGGAATCCTTTATTGAATGCTATATCATCATTTTCCCTCCTTTTATTACAGAAGTCGGCACACACGCCGTATTTATTGATTAAATTATAATTATACAAAACAAGATAGTTGACATAATTTTTTTTACTTTCCTGATTTATCTCTTTAAATATCATTATATATGCATACGTGACATGCAAAATTGTGTTCTATTTTAGAGGCTAGTCTATCCTACTTTTTTTTTAATGCATGTTGCATTATATATGTATCCTGAATAAAGCTTTTGGTGAAATGGAATACTATCTACTTATCTACCTATGTAAACCTTCTTGTTTAGAGTTTTCTACATTGAAAATGTATAGCCATATAATTGTTCACAGAAGTTTAATTAGCGAGCTTGTGATTGTTGATCTTATTCACTTCGTTCCACTTTTATTTCTTAACTCTTTGTGTTCTATTTTTAGATATTTAAGTTGTGCAGTATTTTCTTATCAATTGTACTTTTGGACATTTAAAATTCTCTAAAGAGGTAACTAAATGTATAAAAGTATACTTATGTATATAACTTTATTTTGATACCCAATATGAGCATGATCTGTATTACGATTTAATTCTTAAAAAATGCATGTTTCCCTTCTTACCTAACCCTACCTGATCCCACTGAATGCCCCTTTTCCCATTCTTCACGTATTTCCCATCCCTATTGATCTATTCCCATCCCCCCCCCCCCCCCCTCCATCTGGTAGGTCTAGTGACTATATGAATATTAACACCCAAGGAAAACCATATCGCAATACAACCGAAGGTTTCTACACTATCTCCCTACCCGGTGAACACACGGCACAAGACACAGCACAGCCCTCTTAACCCCACCCTGTGCGTTACATTCCCATTTTCCCACAGCAGCACCACAGGAGGAAGACCAACCCCCGCGATGTCCTACGCGGGCTGTGACCACTTCGCGGAGGTGGGCCCGTGTGCGCGGACCGGGCGCCCGGTCCGTCTCTGCTATCACGTCTTCGACGGCCGGGGAGGGGGGCCGTCGGAGTCGCCCCAGTCGGCCCTGCGGGGGCCGTCCTGCGTGGTGCTCATCATGGGATGGGCCGCCCCCGCGGTGTTCTGGGAGGACCGCCTCTGCGCCGACCTCGCCGCCGCCGCGGGCATGGCTGTCGTCCGCTTCGACAACC